TGGGATGTTTTTGAACTCTTATCTGGAGAATTTCTTCTCCAGGAAAAAAGTTAACCTGGTTAGCCTGAACCTCTAAACAAGCTAAAGTTATTATGAGGCATGGGATGAGCACCGAGTCTTTGGATGATGTTGAGCGTTCAGGGTTCTACAACTCTTTGCAAAGCCACATCTATACTGGAATTAATACAATTAATACTTTTTCAAGGAGGTGCAGATTTTCAAAAAGATCATGCCTCCAGGATCCTTCTCTCCTTTCCTGGTCAGCATTGCCTTAAAGGAGGCATTATTTGGCATTAACAAATATTCTAATATTCTCATCTGCTGAGAACAGAACAATGGATGAAATACTCGGATACAATGACTTCACTGAGAAAACCACACAAAGGTGGTTTTAGCCCCTTAGAAATTTTTTCTCTAGTGACAAAAAAGTTATTATCTGCTTGTATAGTACCCATTTGATTTGTATAGCTTAGTACTTTTGCTGATCCTAAAAGGAGAAATAACAGCTACATTCTTCTATGCCACAATATGAAAAGAGTGGGCAAATGGTGACCTTCTAAGCATGGTAGTACGTATTTAATGGCTAGTAAGAGAATATAGTTTTTATCACAAAATCGCTATTTTTCTCTCATGAATTTACAGAGTCCCTGTTTGATCAGAGAGTGAGTACAATGCAGCTGAATATTCAAGGCCCAGACTTAGAAACAATTATACTGAACAGCTCTTGAATTTCACAAATAAGAGCTCCTTGTTGCTAACACATTTCAGCATGCAAGTAATGCAATTAGGAATCTAGTTGTACAAACCAGGTCAGTCCAAACCTGTGAACAATTTAACTTTCTTTTTAACATAATATTCTACTGTTCTATAATATAAAATGCAAAAATATGCATCTGGAAAAGATTTTAAAGATTTCTGATCTTATTAAGTCCATAAAGCATAGTTCAAGCCACAGCAAGACCGATCCGCAGGAAAGAATATATATTTTTTGCTAGGAGTACAGAAGAATCTGTGCAGCACTAATCGTGTGTCACAGTGTGTGTCATGCATCACTTCAGCAAGCCATCTATTGTGTATGCTGCGCGAAGCTCTGTTCCTCCCAATTAGCATTTTTATAAGTGATTTAACACAGTACGTCCTTCAAGCTGAGACTATTTTTTACCTTTGTTGGCCCCAGGTTGCTCCCTGCTCCACAATGGGTTGGGATACTTGCTCTGCTTTAAGTGTGTCTTAAAAAATCTGAAAAATCCTGCTGCAACTCCCCCCTCACCAAAGCCTAATAACAAGTCAAAACAGCAAAGGGGCTCTGTTGTAACAGGTTTTATAAGAAAACACACCTGAAGATATGCAAGTACTCAGAGGCAGAGACTAAATGGATAAAACCAAGATAGAATTTCCTAAGGCTTACATGACAGATAAATCGCAGAGTTGCTAGCCCAGTCTCATGCATCTGGAGCATTTTCCCCCCGCCAGCCCCCCATCAACAGTTAAGGAAAATCAAGCAAAACTCACACTGATATGGCAGGAAAAAAAAAAAAAAAACACTCACACCACAATATTTGCTCCTTATCAGAACAGTTACAAAGAAAGTATCTAGTGGTTTGCTAAGTTGCTGATAGGGGTAGGTGACAGACTGAAAATGAAGTATTATTAAAAGTCTAAGGTTTGAACATACTATTGCAGGAACCACAATGAATTCTGAAATGATGGCACATTAGTCAAAAAAGAGACGATTCAACTCAGGATATAAAATACTGCAGTATATAACAATATATAGTTATATTCTTCATATGCAGTAATGACCACAAATTATGCTGTGACGGTGGATAACTAGTGGATCATATTTGGTGCATCAGCAGTTACTATGACTTTATTCTTGGTTAACAAGTTATTCTTATTTCCAGGAGATTTTGTTGTGCACAATATTCCCTTTATAGTGGTAGCACATTTTAACAAATTCTTATATAATGAATAAAAAATCTTTTATCTGCTAGTCTAAATATAGATATGACTAATTTTGTCTAGGTGATACTGTAATTTAAATATATTAATTAGTCTCAAAACTATATTCCAAAATGGCATATCTGCTAATAATATTGACACAATGGCTTCACTGAAGAGAACTGTCTGCTAAATACAGTCATATTACATGCAAAGAAAATGTAAAACAACCGCAAGATTGCCAACTCTACTGCTCAAAGGTTATAAGGTGTCAGGATAAAGATTGTTTGTGCAAATCTTAATTCAGACCCATTTTCCCTGTAATAGAGAATTTGTGTGATCTCAGAATATTTTTGTGTTTCAGTTAAACTAAAAATGCATGGTGTTCAGTAAGCAACTACCCAGTATTTCTTCCCCTCCAGGTATGCTCTTGACATAATATGAAAAAAACATTTCCTCAAAACCAGCCCAAACACTTCTGAAGTTTCCTGTGTCAGGTTTTCCCTGGGGCAAACATTGAGCTCACGTAAAGTTCCTCAAAGTAATATATAAATTGAAAAGCAAAGGAGATTTTGCCATAGAAAGTATCAAGCACTCTTTAGTACACATGAAATTACCATCTCTACAAGCACCAACAGAAATATTCCATAATATTGATTGCAATTTAAAATAATTATTAGCTTACCTGACCAGAAAACGATGTAGCCCAACATCAAAACATCTGTAAGAAGAAAAAAATCAATTAAATTCAATTACTAAAAAGTTGTCATGTAGGATATTATACAAAGACACTATTTCAAAATAACCAATAATATGCAGTAATTATGAAATTACTAGAAACCATAAAATAGAAGAAAAACAATGTATAATTTCCCTTATACAATGACATAAATGAAATTTAAGATGATATATGGAAGAATTCAGATACACTTAAAAGAAACCTTCCAGGTTCCTTCCATGTTCAGATTTCCATATCTGAATGAAATATAAATAAAGCTAAATTCAATAAAGCTATAACATTCAAAGTAATATAACTCATTGAAAGGATAGATAGAAGTTTAAAATAATTCTTTCATTAACAAAATGTGTAGTTACCTCCATGACCAGTGGGTTTGCATGTTTCCTGTCTTAAACAGGCAGACAGAAGCATTATGCCAAGCTACTTTA